TCCCGAAGCGAATTATCCTGGGCCGCTCGGTTTAGTGGGGGCCTTCCTCTCCTCATTTCTGTGTACTTGTATTCACAAGGAATGGTTGAGTAACGATCAATCGGTGAGTATTTCTCTAAGGTACTATTGTGTAAGGGATGAGTCCGAGGAAATGCGGCTCTGATACCAACTGTAACGGCCCCGGGAAATTTAAAATGAAATATGTGTATTAAAAATGTCAATGCGGAAGCGAAATCAAAATTCGATTAACATCCCTTACACTAAAACCAAAAACGTGCTCAAAATATAAAAGATCAAACTAACTAAAAGAGAAATTCGAAAGTAAAAGCTATGAATATGACTATGGAGTCTCTAGGCGTCCCCTTCGTCGTCTTCTTACGGAACGGGCTCGGGAACAATGTCTTCCTGATCTGAAATGATTAAATAAGGAATGAGTTACACTAGCCCAGTAAGGACATCACGATATCTCACCATCACGGAGGTAAAGGTGGGTAGAAAACACAAAAAGATCAATGAAGCATAATTTACAATAAACTCATTTATCAGCAATAAAACCTTTACCATTCACTTATCCCGGTGAAATTCATAAAACAATATACGAAAGCAATAATATTATCATTATCATGAAATCATATAAACTATGTAACATAATACTTATCACGTCTTTGCAATTCAATCATTACACAATCACTTTTCCTCATTCACTGGCCTGACTAGATATCCTGGGAGATGGTGGACGGACCGGGTCCGTAGGGGACCCTACCGGGATTGTGGTCTCTCATATCGGACGGGGTATGGAGATCTAATGTGTTTTGGCACCCATACCGGACGGGGTATGGGGACGGCCCTGGAATCTGATTACAAGTATTAAGGGTAACGGGTAGCGGGACCCATATGGATCCCCATGGATACTAGTAGGCTGGTGAATGAGGAAAAGTGATTGTGTAATGATTGAATTGCAAAGACGTGATAAGTATTATGTTACATAGTTTATATGATTTCATGATTATGATAATGTTATTGCTTTCGTATATTGTTTTATGAATTTCACCGGGGTAAGTGAATGGTAAAGGTTTTATTGCTGATAAATGAGTTTATTGTAAATTATGCTCCATTGGTCTTTTTGTGTTTTCTACCCACCTTTACCTCCGTGACGGTGAGATATCGTGATATCCTTACTGGGCTAGTGTAGCTCATTCCTTATTTAATCATTTCAGATCAGGAAGACATTGTTCCCGAGCCCGTTCCGCAAGAAGACGACGAAGGGGACGCCTAGAGACTCCATAGTTATATTCATAGCTTTTACTTTCGAATTTCTCTTTTAGTTAGTTTGATCTTTTATATTTTGAGCACGTTTTTGGTTTTAGCGTAAGGGATGTTAATCGAATTTTGACTTCGCTTCCGCATTGACATTTTTAATACACATATTTCATTTTAAATTTCCGGGGCCGTTACACTTCGTCTCTTCCAGTCATGGCTCTCAGGAATAAGATCGTCGAGAAAATCCTCGAGAATCGCGTGACTCTCATTATCGGCGAGACTGGTTGCGGTACGGCTTTGTTGTTTATTCATTTGCTTGGTTTTTGGTTCTTGTATCATTGATCAGGGTAATATCGTGTTTGTTTGAGTAATCTAATCCGTCTCATTTCTCCATTTCGATTGTGGCTTAAGCTGTATCTCTTGCATGCTAAGAAAGCGGGTGATTGCTTAGTTTTGGCTGCAACACCCTGTTTGGTTGCAAAGAAATATATGGGAGGTTTGGTTGCAACACCCTGTAGTTTTCTGCTTGGTTGCTTGATCGTTGAGAACCATGGAAAATGTTAATCATCCTATTTTCTGACATGGTATACTGGGGTGACGAACAACCAACGAAAAGAAAACGTTAAAGACTGAATTTAAAATGTTATACTACCTGTATGAGAGTTTTTAGGTTGCAGCTTCTTATCTTATTCTCGTTTGAACTTGAAAGAAAATTATATACAAATGTACAGAGGGCAGGCACAATTTGAGGGAGATATATTAAACCCAAATCCCCAAAGCAACTGCTAGAAGGCCAGGGAGAACTTGGTAGTGTGATTCTTTTGAATATCCTTGTGGGCCTTTTCATCTTCAGTGGGAAAGATTATTATGTTAGGTTTAAGAAGTGCAAAGATTTTAAGAACTGATGCATTTTCCTCTTGCTTTGGGTTTGAGGATGAGAAAATGCTATCTCAAACATGGTGGATCGCTGTTTGGTCTTTTCCAATTGTTCTTTTGTTTTTAATACTAATGAATGTTACCAACTGTCAACTTGAAACTAAGGGGTATTAGCAGCCATTACCAGCTGCTGCTCTTTTCTAATTGTCTATTTTTTTCCTTTGAAGGTAAGAGCTCTCAAGTTCCTCAATTTCTCTTGGAAGAAAACATGGTACCAGTTTTATGCACGCAGCCAAGAAGATTTGCTGTTGTAGCTGTTGCTAAGATGGTTGCTAAATCTCGCAACTGCGAACTGGGTGAAGAAATTGGATATCACATAGGTTATTCAAAGGTTTTATCAACAAGGTAGTCTTACTACTTCCTTTAAGCACTTGAACTTGTCTCATAAGTCAAGAGTTTTGGAACTTGAAAACAATTTTTTGAAACTGTTCGAAGGTTTTATGGAAAAAGAAGAAGAGCAGACAGTGAGTTAAACGACGTTTCTAGTGCGAATATATCTAGTATAATTTTTTCTAACCGGAAAGGAAAATTGTGATGTTATTATTATTTTTCTCGAAATGGTTTCTTTTCGAGAGTACTTCCAGTTACAGCATCTTTTCTTTCCTGAGGATGTCCAATTATTTATTAAAACAAAAGGTGTACAGAACAAGCAACAAATATATATTGCTTCAGATTCTCCATTATGTAGTTTCCTCTTCTAAATTCCTTCTTTTGGCTATGTGTTTATGGATTCAGTCTTCAGACTTTAGATTACAGATGGTAAAATTTGACCTTACCCAACTAAACTAAAATTATTTCTGAAAACTCACGTTGATGGGTGAATTCTATAACTTGGAAGTAAAATTATTCATTTCAACCCAGTTACTTGTTATCCAAACAACTTGAGGTTTTAGAAGAAATGAGAAACCTAAAGATTTGATACTTGAATAACTTGTTTTTTTTGGTAAAACCCCTGTAATGGAGGCCTATCTGAGATCCAAATAGTCCAAATTTGAAACATTGCAAAACCTGGAGAGCCTTAAAGATGACTATAGTTGAACTCCAAGCTTGGAACCTGTTATCCATATATGATTGAATCATACCATCATATCCACCTGGGAAAGAAATAGGAACCTGAAAAGTTCTTGAGCTAAAACAATTGTAAATTAAAATAAGTTGAAACTAATCCTGGGTTCCTTAATCAACATATGATTGAACTATAGCATCATACCCAGCTGGGAAAGAAATAAAAACCTGCAGTTTTTGAATTTGAATAATTGAGAAGATAAAATAACTTGCACATCGATACCAGATGCTTGATGCCTAGAAAGAACTAGAAAAATGAACTGAAATCGAAATAATTTATGATCTAAAAAATTTGAGAACCAGATGATTTTGATACCTCAAATGTTCTGAAATATGAATTTAAGGAACCTGACATGAGCCTTCTCAATTGCCACTCTACCCAAGATCTTTCTTCGGAAGGAGGAAATTGGAAATATTGAACCTAGAATGAGTTAAAATTGCTTTAAAGCACTACCTATGATACATATTCTTGAACAAGGAGGAGGATCTCCTCCAGATTTCGTCTTTCGGATTAGTTCCTCATATTTGATCATAGCTCGGTGATGGACAAACATCTACACGTTAACATATTCATCATTCCTTGAAAAAATATTAGAACCTTTAAACAATAAAATAGAACAAGACATTTTAGTCTATGATGTTCTCATTTTTCCTGGTTTATTGATGGCATTCTTGTCTCTCATTTCTTTATAATGATATTTTGCAAATCCTACATTTTTATAATATTTGCAGATCAAAGATTGTTTTCAAAACTGCTGGAGTTTTACTCGAGGAAATGCGAGACAAAGGGTTGGAGGCACTGGACTACAAGGTTATTGTTCTTGATGAAGTGCATGAAAGATCTGTGGAGTCCGATCTTGTTCTTGTCTGCGTAAAGCAGCTTCTGCTGAAAAATAATAACCTGAGGTTAGCTTTTTCTTCCCCTAAATATTCTGATTTTTAAAAAAGATTTAAAATGCTTTATTAAATTTTAATAGTTTTATTTAAGGAAAAGTGTACTTCAATACTTTCTGGTTTAGTTTTTTTCAATTTCAATAACTCTTAATTCTTTCTTCGAATTTTGCATATGTGTTATCACTTTATATAGCACTATTGTTTATTAGAGGATATTGGCACATGTTTGTGCAAATTAGAAAACAATCCAAAATATAAAAGAACATAACTTAGAGAAGTGATCAAAAAGACAAACTACAAGTACGTGAGAAAAAAACAACAGTTAATGGAAGTGAAAATAACTAAAAACAAGACTTGTGGTTTGCCCTATTATTTAATAATATATATTTTTGCTATAAAAAGAAAATGATAGTACATTTAATTTTCTCTTTCAGGTTAGTATTAATGTCTGCAACTGCGGATATATCAAAATATAGGGATTACTTCAGGCAGCTTGGTAGGGGTGAAAGAGTTGAGGTTCTTGCAATCCCTAGCACAAGCCAAAGAGTAGTGTTTCAGCGAGAAGTGTTCTATATTGAGCAGGTTAAGTGTTCTACCTTACGAAGTTGTTAAAAGATCCCTGGCTTAGTCATTATCTTTTTCGTTTATAGTTCAATTCGAACAATTTTATTGGTCTCAACATAATGTTTTCCAGCATAATGTTTCACTTCATAATTTTTTAACTTGAGATGGTTATTTTAGAATGATCATCTTTCTTTTGGTTAAAAACTGAGCAATAGCCCATTTCTTGTCTTAGGTGACTCCCTGCAAGGCTTCAATTAAACATTTCTTTATCAATAAGAATTCTTTGTTAATGTTTGCAGTTCAAGGATGAGGAAACTTATCACGTAGTTTATGTAAGCTTCTATATTTTTGAAGCAGTCTAGGAAGGATATTGGGTGTGAAATTGGTATAATGTATAAACCCGGCTTGTAACTGAAGAAAACATTAAACCTGTTTCTAGAATGAACAACTAGATGATCTTGTTAAATATTTTATACAGTAAGACTTATGGTACCCTCTTGGTAAGACCATGGCTCCCTCTTGGTGCCTTACTATCATCTTTCTTCTGATAACAAGACCATTTACTCTCCCGTACATACTGCAGTAGGCATGTAAGTTACATCATGATTTTCAGTTGCATTTGAGCTTCTAATACCCGAGACATTCCTTTCGAGAATGAATGTTGCTATTCTTGGAACAGGTAACCAAACTTCTTGGAACAAGTTCAGGAGCATCATCATCAACAAATCATTCTGGGTCCTTCACTTCCATGGTTGATGCTAAAATTAAGCCTCAAGAACACAAGCTTATTCATGACCTTGTCTTGCACATCAATAGAAATGAGCCAGATATAGAGAAGAGCATTTTGATTTTCCTCCCAACATACTATTCCCTGGTGCAGCAGTGGAATCTGTTGAAGCCATTTCATAAATTGTTTAAGGTTCACATCTTGCACCGCAGTTTTGATACTGAGCAAGCTCTGAATGCTATGAAACTCTGCCAATTCCGTCGAAAGGTACCCCTTAACTACTTCTATGTCCTTAAGGTTTTCTTATAATAACTCTATCTTAGCAAAGTTTTTTTCAGTAGGAAAAAAGAGTTATAGTAACATGGTACCAAGGAAGTGCAATCCAAATATAAAACAACTTAATAAAGCTGTCAACATGTCAATAGGATCACGTAGGTCCTCACCAGAATTAAGAAGATGGCCCTTAATTCAAAAAAAAAAAAAAAAAGAGCAAAGTGTCTGGAACCACACATCTTTAAACCTGTCAAAATTAGTTTCTATACTGTCAAATGTCCTCTTATTCTTTTCCTTCTAAATTACCCTAGTCAAGAGGATGAGTGATAACATCTTATTATGCTATCTTTCTGATGCTTCTCGAAGATCAGATTTCATCCTCAACTGAACCAGCCATCACCCAGGTTACAGCCAAAAGGCTATAAGCAACTGTCTCTCATCAAAAAGAAAGAGGGCACTGAATAAGGAGATGGTTAGGTGACTTGACTGCCTTCTTACAAAAAAAAAACCATTCATAAGTGTCTTTCCTCTTTTTATCGGGCTGTCTAGGCCTCTAGGATGAGAATGCTTCCTCCAAGCCAAAAAAAAAAAGCGACTTTGAGAGAGGAATTTATCTTCCAAATCTGCTTCCAGTGGAAATTCTCTTTGTCCATAGCAATGTTCATATTAAGATAGGACATTAGGGGGAGAGTGGTAGATCTCATACTTGAGTGGAAACATTAATCAATCATGGAAATCTGAGCAAACACATCTAGTCAAGTTGATGGTGATGTACTGTGTTTAAAAGAGAAATAACTGATTCAGATGATCTTTAGTTATGATCCTGTTCTGTAGGGAAACATAAGTTTTTGTTGAGTTCTCAGCAGTATTTCTTCTTTCATAAGACACAATATTCTGCTTCCAATACTGCAAGTCTCTCTTTTTTTTTAAATAACTCAATACTGCAAATCTAGTTAGGGACAAATACATTTATGATGATGCCACTTCTATAATTAACCCTTCCATCAGTTGTGGTTATCTACTGAGAAATGCTAGTTTGCACAGGTAATATTGGCCACAAATATTGCAGAATCTTCTGTGACAATACCCAAGGTAGCCTTTGTCATCGATTCATGTCGATCTTTACAAATACGGTGGGATCCTGAAAGAAAATGTGACTCTAGCCAACTTGTTTGGGTTTCTAAATCTCAGGTATTCTTTTTTCTCTTTTTTTTTTTCTTTTTTGGGTAGGAAATCTAAGGTATTCATGGAAGTTTACTGACTGATTTGGATAATATCTCCTTTTGATTTCTTAATTCAAAATCTTGTGGTAGGCTGAGCAACGTAAAGGGAGGACGGGACGAACATGCGATGGTCAGATTTATCGACTGGTTACAAGATCATTTTTCAGCCAACTTGAGAATTATGAGCGTCCAGCTATACTAAGGTTGTCATTGAGACAACAAGTGCTTCAGATTTGTTGTTCTGAATCACGAGCCATTAATGATCCCAAAGGTAAAGTATTAAGAATTATGATTTTATCATTAATTTTGCTGCTCTTAGTTGTCATTGGAACAGGTTTTTATGGTATCAAATTTTGCAATTTGTAACCAGTAACAATGATAATCAAGTGTTATAACTTTTCCAGTGCTGAACCCTGTGAATCTTCCTTTAAGATGTGAAGTACAAGTTAAATTATTATATTAGAGATTTTTCAAGAAAAAGATTTTTATATTAGGAAACTTATACATTCATTAGAAAATTGCAGACTCACATTACTGAAAGTTGAATAAGGTAGCAATTTTAAGTTCTTTTTCAATGCAGTTCTGTTGCAGAAGGCTCTGGATCCACCAGAACGTAAAATTGTTGAAGAGGCACTCAATTTACTTGTTGACATGCATGCGTTGGAGAAAACACATCCAAGGGGCCGGTATGAGCCTACGTTCTATGGACGGTTGCTTGCCAGTTTCCGGATATCCTTTGATGCTTCTATGATTGTAGCTAAATTTGGATGACATAAACGCTGCAATGTCACTGCTGCCGAGGGTTGAAGAACAGTGGTGCTCTTTCCATCATCTCGTGCAGTCATCACTACACAATGTCTCTGAAATGTGTATGCCTCTGCAACATATAATTATGCTGCATTATTTTTTCCATCTCAATTGAGCAGTGTAAATAATGTCTCTGTTCTCCTCTTTTTTTCTACTTCTCTCTTATGCACTTTCTTCCTTGCTTCAGATGAAGATGTCCTACGCCATCTGCACCAGTTCCGGCCCAATTTTTTTGGGTTCAAGTGTTAGTCTGCCAACATACTTCCATCCTTATGAATTTGCGCATACTTGCATGGTTGAGTACAAGGCAAGTGGAGAAACATATGAACTTGCTGAGGATGATGACCGCCCAGATTCATCTTTGGACAATGGGAACTGCATAGCTTCACCATTTGTTGGTCACCACCAGTTCCAGCTCAATGTTGTTACTGCAAAGTTTACAGATATTATCAAAGAGGTATTTGCCATCAGAGTTTTTGTTTTTTAATCTCTTCTTAAAGAAAAAGACACGTCATTGGATTATGATTAGGTTAGCACCAATCAAGAATCTCCAAAAGTATTGGAAGAATTCTGGTTGCTTGTTTGTTGGAAACATTTCTTGATATTACTTCAGAAAAATTGAAATACTTTTAAATAGATGACTGATTGGATACTAAGAAAGAACTACAGGATATCTCTCTCGTCTGTCTTATCCTCGTATTGATTCTCTTGGTGGTTGGACTTCAACAGATAAAAATTCAATGTATGCGAAAAATGCATGATGACAAGCTCGGAGCTACTAGTCGTGATGGTTCTCATCCCAATGAAGAGGCTTCTCTATGCATATATTTTGCAAAAGGATCTTGCAACATGGGTAATAATTGTGCATTTTCTCATTCACTTGAAGCAAAAAGGCCAATATGCAAATTCTTTCTCTCTTTACAGGTACTTTGCACTGTCACTCTAATTTCTTTTAGTATATTCAAGAGCTTATTTTTTGGCTGATACAATGGCTTCCGTAATTATCTTTTTGACTGTTTGGTCTTTTAAACAATTTGAAACTTTTTATCTTAGTTGTTTTTCAAAATGCTATAATACATTCCTGGACTAAAATAAGGTGTGATATTCAGGGATGCAAAAATGGGAGTTCATGTTCCTTTCTGCACGATGTGCATCAATTGGCATCATCAAGTCAGCGAATTGCATGCCTGCCAGAAGATGACCGTGCCAATCCTGCTTCTTTTCTGCAATTATTACCCACAGCTTCTGATGGATGTATTCTTTTGTTGGATGACAATGATATGCGCTTCACCTTAAGTCTTATTCCACACATTGATCCGCATAAAATAATCTCGACAACGCGTTTATCAACGACATCCATATATGATACTTTACTGACAGGTGTTATAACTCTGTGGGGGATGCCTCATCCATGTCACCCCATCATTTCCAATGTAGGGAAACGCCTCTTCCTATGGAGTGGAATTAAGTGTGTGCTTTGGTTTCCTGATCTCGAGGAGTATAGCGAAGATTTGTATAGACAGAAAAATTTAGTGAAGAACTTTTTTGAGTATATGGCAATCCGAATACTGGGTGATTCTCTATATGAAGTGCGAGTTATTGTCACAATGAACAACATCCAATTTTCACAAATGCAGGTAATTTCTTTGTCTCTGGAAAGTATTCATGTTCCATTCTTGGCACTGCTTGCAGTTGAAGTATCAATAGAATTATTAACAGGGATTTAGTGCATAGCCGAATGTTACTCTAGGCTTGTTTGGGTTCATTTTCCAGAACAATATGAAAGTTAAATGGTCTTTTCCTAACTGTATCATATATAGCCTGATGATACTCCCTGCATAAAGGAATAAATACACTCTTATTTGTATAACAGTTTATATTTATCACTAGTATTATATCTCTCCATTACCAAGATTCTACAATAAGACTATACAACCTGAGTTTTGTTAGATCAGAAATCCAACATGCTCATGTAGATTAGAACTCTACATGCTCATTTCTTGAGTTATTGCAGATAACCATATGGTTTGATGAATATTATCTTACACTATCTTTTCATACTCGACCGCTGCATATTTTGTAAGATCTTACGATTTCGAAGCTTTTCTAAAACAATCTTTTATCGTCTCCAGGTGAAAATGCTGGCTCGAGACTGCTTCTTCTTCCTCACGAAATCATTTCCTTTTGATGTAACAACTTTCCCTGACGTGATGTATGAAAGCACCCTTAAAAAACCGATGATTGAATCAAGGGCCATCTCGTACGTTTTCGACTTGCGACCACCGACAGACATCCAGTTTGGCGACTATGCCTCTGTGCTTCACAGCATTCTGAAGAATCCTCCGGATTGGGTTTAAAATCATTGCTTACATTTAGCATCTTGATTATAAATATTGAAATAATTGGTCTAGCTTTTGCTATTGAACCTTGGAAGTTTAGAAGAACTATGCAGGAACATGGCTAATGTGACTCTAGTTATGCCAGTGCTTGAATTTCTGGCAGTTAAAAATGGCCGTGTGAAATAACGGCGTTAGAGCCATACTGTTTATAATTCCTTAAAATTTATTGATATGAACTTTTTTAAAGTATTGGGATAACTTGATTTTTCTATTACCCCTTTTATATGGGTTCGTGTATATATATATATATATATATAATAAATATATAACAATTATTTATAAATTTTTAGTTAAAATAATAATATATACAATAAATAAAATAAAATTATATACATATATATATATAAAATAATAGTATTTATAATAATTATCTATCTTAATTTTTTTTAAAAAAATATCAAAACACATACATTTTTAGTTTAATAAAAAGATATATTGTAGTTATCTATTTAATTTTTTTACTGATTACAAAATATAAAATTATAAGCTACATAAATATTACTTTTATATAATTCTAAAAATTTATTTTAAAATTATATTATTTATGTAGTCCCTGCTAAAAAAAATTTAGTAAGTAGTAATAATATATTATGATTTTATTATTTCGTTACTAATATTTAATAAGTTATAAGTAACTAAAAATTTTAAATTAAAATAAATAATAATATTGTTGAACTGTTTGGATTATATCGATATCTCGTTTTTAGTTATTACCCACAAGAACTCGTACGAGTTTCCTGCAGTCTTAGCATAATTGATTTTTTTGAAAATATATGTACTCGTATTTTTTTACCACGTTGTATATTTCGCGTCTTTACCTCGATAAGTTGTTCGTATAAATTATTATAATAAAATTTAAA